AAACCAACATTGCAATTCCTGGAAAGTGCAAACAAATACAGTAAGTAGTATAGTTGTTGACACCGTACTTCTAGAAGCCATGGCTTCTACAAAAACAAACATCCCCTAGGGAAGGGAGTCAATTGTTGATGGAAAAATATTTTTCCGTTTCTATAAATACTGGACATTTTGTGTGACTCCATAATTTTGGCCCAATTACAACGTATCTTTTTGGTTTTCAGAAAGCAAATAGAGCTATATTAACATGTAAATTGGGTTTTAAATTCAACCAGAAATATCATCAAACATATGACATACAACCGTTTATCAAGGACCCATAAATTTAATGGTTTATAACCCAAAATAGCTTGCTGTAAATCTCTTCAATTCTCTAAAATTGATACATTAAGATCATCCCTCCTGCATGCATAAATTAAACAAAACCCAAAGTAGAATATAATTGTTGTGAAACTTTTCTTAACAATCCAAAGGAAATTTTCAGCAAGTACGTCCAAGTTAAAACTCCATTCAGACCAATTCAAGCTATTAAGGATAGTATTTTGAATACAAAATATGAATAAAATTACGAAACAAACTCCCCAAATTCGTAGACACTTGCAAGCCCTTTTCTATTGCCTATCTACAGAGAGAAAGTTGTTGAAATTGGGCTTTTCATGAGTATAGTGCAGGAGAGGGAAGACAAGCTTGTTGTAAAATAAGAGCTAGCAAATAATCTAGAGAGAGTGCTCTGAGAGGCAACACTGTAATCTTATCCCACACTGTACTGTAATCTTATCCCATGATGCTGAGGGCTATTACAAAGATGAGAGGCGTCTCTGCACAGAGCTTACGATAAAGTTTAAAGAGAGACAAAGAGGTTTGAGAGAGACAAATAGCTCCTGTGGAATACCCAAGTCTTTTTTTAATTTGAAATTTTATTTATTCTTTTATATATATACATCGAGTAATGATCGTATGCGACCCTCCCAGACACATCACTATTAAAACAAAGTCAAGTCTCGCACGATGGGATGACTTTATTTTGATATTTATTATAAATTTAGTGGTGATCTTGAAGTGTGTGAAGGTCATATATATATATATATATATATATATATTATATAGTATATAGAGCCTATATATATATATATATATAAATGATCTTGTGGGATCCTGTATAGGACCTCAAAAGATCACCATTAAATTTGGTATACATATTTAGAAAAATCAAGTCTCATACCCATGTGATAACTTTTTTAGATATATGTATCAAATTTAATAGTGATCGTTGGGGTCCTACACACATGGGTGTGAGAGGGTCCTATAGGATTATTACTCATATATATATATATATATATATATGGGTCTTTTCTAGAGTTAACAGTCCCTCAAAATACAAAGGTTCAAGTTAGAAGGGGTTGTAATGGATGTATTTATCAAAACAATCATTACGTTCTTTTTTAAATAGGTAACTTTACCATCAAGCAAGGGCAACTTTAGAAATGCAACTTCACCATCAAGCAAGGGTAAGTTTAAAAGGGGTTGTGATGGGTGTATTTAAATAGGTAACTTTATCATCAAGCAAGGATAAGTGCCCTTGTCTTTTAGTTAAAATTTCAACTTCACCCCTTATGAAGATAACAAAAATACCATTTGTCTTGTAGTAATATTTACAAAATTGCCCCAAAAAAATAACTTTTTTAAAAAATAGACTACAAAATTAATAAATCCACCATTCACAACTCTCTCTGTCTTGAACCTTTGTAATTTGAAGGGTTGTGAAGTTCAGATTATCCATATATATATATATATATGGTTTTGTTAGGCTACACCACCTAGTGTTGTAGACTCTTAAAG